ACCTCCACCCCCCCTTCCTCCCACTAACTCCCTACACTCACCTCCACCTCCAGAATAGCGGCCCACACGTTGGCCCTGACCAGAGGAGGGATGTCCACCCTGGCTTCCCGCCAGATGCACGGCCGTTTGAACGGGTACGCTGCCAGAAGCCTCTCATACAGGATGATCCGGTGGAACTGAAAACAAAAATAGTTTATACAGTCATATACTTATTTACTGTCTCCCTGTACTGTCAAGTACACAAGTCAGAGAGCAGTCGACCCCCACACTTGTCTATCCCTGGCCTCTTCCTCTATCCTTGGCACATCTAGGCCCTGGGAGATGGCCTCATCCTAATCAGTAAAGTCATGTACTCCTCCTAAATTTAAACAGTAACCCTTTTAGTCCAAGTAGTAGTCTCTAAAGCTATGTATTCCTCTAATACATGACTCGAACATTTTCACAATAACTCCCTTAGCTCTAAAATCATGTACACTTTCACAATAATCCCTTCACGCTCCTGCATTTTCAAAATAACTCCTGTATGTAAAGTGACGGGTTTCAGTTGTCATATATTTTACTAAAGGAAAACTACTAGTGCTACTACACTTTCCCAAAATCTAGTCAAGGTAATATTTTTTTCCTTATGTATTCTTCTATAAAAAGACTCATACATTTTCACAATGAAAACTTTAGTGAAAATGAGAGTTTCTTTAGTCATATACAGTCAAACCTGCAGTAACAGCCACTTGTAAAAGAAATCCACCTGTACAAACAGCCACTTCCTATTTCTCCCCTTGCATTAAAAAAAAATTGTAATGATGCTAAGTAAGACTGTCCCCGTGGTTTTATGCACCCCGCATAATTTAGCAAAATTTGATCATTTTTTTCATAATTTCTCATTATTTTTCTTTATCATTCTTTGTTAAAATTAACAGAATTGTATAATTTCACATTTTTGGACTCAGTTTGCATAATTTCAGAATTTTTCTTGCATAAAACGACGGGGACAAGTAAGAAGGCCAATTGTCTAAGATGACCAATTTTCTCTTCGACAATTTTGACAGTATTTCCCTGACGGAAGACTCTTAAGATGACAGAAAAATCTGAGGAGACATTCCCCCCCAATACTGTTACCTGGTACTCCACGTCCTTCTCCCTGATGACCAGAGGTAAGCTGGCTGAGCTGGTCAGTTCTCCGCTGCTGGGCGACGTGGGCAGGCTCTGGGTCTCCACGACCTTTGACCTGAAGGACAGTCGGGGAAAGAGCAAAAAGTCAGCACATCACAAGGAAAGTAGAGTTTAGTTGGGTTTTTTTTAGTTTTCTTAACATTAACAGTTTTACAGTTCTTGCAACACAAATAGGTTATGCAAGTGCCAAAGACTAGAGGTGTTACTACTAGAGAGCAATATACAAAGAAAAGAAGGAGGAGAGGTAAGTACGATAGATATTTGATAGGAAAAGAGGATAAATTACACCAGAGCACCCGCCAACTACCCACTAGAAAGATTGAGAAAGAGGTTTTTAAAATGTACATCAAGTGAAAAATGATATGATTTACGTTTATCACTCTTTTTATATACTATCTCGTCATTTAAGGTTCAGGACTTTCGAACTTAACTTCTATCTCTGGTAGCGTAAAGCCAAGTCAGTGGACAGCCTTGGAAACTCTCCAAACAACTGAAGCTCAGAATAGCCCCATTGAACAGTCATCCACACTGTAGTTCAGCATGATGTCAATGGAGCTTCACTTCACCCTCGACTTAGTAAAAGTCAAGTCAGCAGAGTTAAGTTTTAATTTTAGAAAAGGTTTCACGGTATTTGCAACTTAAATAGGTCAAATAAGTTCCGATGATTAGAGGTGTTGCGACAAAGAAAAGAAGGAAGAAAGATAAGGACAACAGATATGTTTGATCGGAAAGAAAAAGCAGCCCGCACCAAAACACCCACCAACCACCCAGGAACTATGGCCATAAGCTGCTGGACGGACTAGAGGAAAGCAACAATGTTCTAACATTCTATGACACAAGTCACTCACTCTTCTTCCAACAGAGGGTAGTACGCAGTTGCTGGGACGTCTCTCAGACGCTGAGAGGAAAAAAAAAGAGAATAAATGGAGACAATAAAAGCAGTGACTAGTAGATCTATCTTATACATTACTTGTAAAACATTAATGCTAGTATAGAACAATGTCTTGCCACCAGATTCAGTACAGTTAGGTTAATTAACTCTTTCAATACTACGAGTCAACTGAACGGCTCAGCATTTTCCTTTAGTTATAGCAGAGGTTTTACGGTGCTTGCAAATGCATAAGGTCATATGAGCGCCAGAAGATTAGAGGTGTTACAAAGAGAGTAACAAACATAAAAAAGAAGAAGGGGAGACAAGGACAATAGATGTTTGAAAGGAAAGAAGAAGCTATGAAAAGCCATATTACTGACTTGATTATATGCCTCTATAAATACTAAAATTATTCCTGTTCAGACTTTCCAAAATAACATCCACCCTTTGATAGGAAAATGTTCAATTTTTTTTCATATTCCCTTTTCAATTCCTTTCATGGGATATATAATACATAATACTTACTGACACAAATTGGTAAATCAGCAGACAAAACTAAACACACAGAGATAAACTAAACAGGCGCCTGCCAGCAGAAAAAATTAAGTTTAGGAAGAAAGAAAATTGGGTGGTGAATGAGTTCAGAGCAAGCCTTCCAACTTAGCGTTAAGAAGGCTGAAAGGGACTTAGAACTAGGACCATCCACACCACTGATCAGTACGATAGCCACAGAGCTGACAGCGCCATCTATCTGATCCTGAATGACTCACGTAGCGAAGCTGTTCCTGGGACAGGGGGACCACCGTAAAGTCCAGAAGCTCGGCAAAATCGCGGTCCTGGCCGAAAACTTCTCCGTCCACGATGCCATAGCTGGGGACACACAAACACAAATACAGACACATACACGAACACACACACAGGAACATACATACATGAACACACACACAGGAACATACATACATGAACACACACACAGGAACATACAAACATGAACACACACACACAGGAACATACATACATGAACACACACAGTAACAGATAAGAAGGGGTAGAAGCAACGAAATAATGCTGATGCAATATATACCTGATCAATCTCTTTCAGTGGGTACCAGAAACTAAATTTTCAAACTAGCTGTATGCCAAATTTATCTGTTCCATTTGAAAGGCCTATATCCACTGAGCATTTTGGTACCATTCTTTAACCTCTCTG